ACCGGGCCGGGCGGCCGTGGAGGGGACGGACTCTGGGGTGTGTGTGTGTGGGAGGGGGGGACTGCGTTACTGCGCGTGCTCGCGGAGCCCGCTCCCCTCGCCAGACGTGGGCCGGGCTGGCGCCCCGAGTGCAGCGAGCCGAACCGGCCGGACTGCGGGGTCTACGAGGGCGCTGCCATTGTTCTAGCCGAGTCGCTGCGACGGGGCAGCTAGGCCGCTGAAGCAGCGCCGGGGTCGGCGGGAAGCCGGGCAGGGCGCCCTGCTGCCGGGTGTGGGCTCGCCCTTTGGCGAGTGGACAGCCGCGGTTTCTGGAGCTCGCCCGGCAAGCTCCGCTTAGGTTTATTTGTATTACTATTATTTTTAAAGCAGGATCATTCTGGCTGTCCTTGGAGCTCAGTGTGTTGTCTAGGCTGGCCTTGACTTCCAAAGTCATCCGCCTCTCCCTGCCCGAGTGTTGGGATTAAAGGCGTGTGCCGCTCTGTCCGGCTTCTGTCTTAGATCAAGAGGTTGAACTTTATAGTTGGTACGCGTGACTGTGACTAATTCTCAGGGGAAAAAAAAGTAATCTACCTGCTAATTAGGCTCAGAAGAGGCCACAGGAGAGGACGGCCGACATTTCCACATGCCATAGTGCTTTTTCGTCAGCCGTGTTATGTCATCATAGATTATTAAGGACTTCTGTGATACAGCATCGAAAAAAGCAAACTAAGGAGTATTATCAGTAATTCTAAGTAAAGCTTATTGTTTTAACGAGAAACAGTTTACTCGCTTAATTAATTTGGAGACCCTAGTGACTTATCCAAAGTACAAACTATTGCCTTCCTCTGGTAGCCTAGCCTTAGTAAGTCATACATTTTATTAATTTTGAGCGCTCCCCCCCCCGTCTCTCTCCCTTTCTTTTGCTTTTGGTTTTTCGAGACTGGGTGTCTCTGTGTAGCTTAGAGCCCTTCCCGGAACTCGTCTGACCTTGAATTTCAAAGTAATCCACCTGTCCCTGCCTCCCAAGTGCTGGGATTGAAGGCGTGTGCCACCACCACCACCCAGCTTAATTTTTTGAGCTTTAAGGAGAGGCTATTTCTCCATGTTTCTTAAATATTTGGGACCCTACTTATATGAAAACTGATTGTTCTAACCCCTTTAAGAGTAAGTAGGTTTAACCAACTCGAGAAACCTCTTTCCTTCCCCACCTTTACCTTGCTGCTGAGATTCTAGCCAAACGCAGAGAAGACAGAGTTTTTCAATATTTGGGTCAATTTCTGAAGCTAGATGTGATGCAGACAACACTCAGGAAGCTGGGGTAGGAAGATCAGGCCAGCTAGGCCAGCTTGTACTTAGGAAGTAGCTCTCTTAAACAGGATTCTGACGAGGCAATAATCATTAACAAGACAGGCAAACAAAAGTTCATTACCAACATAAATAGAAATCTTGCCTTCCTAAGAAAGTATCAGTTTAACTTTTCAACAGATAAGCAAAATACTTGCTAATAGACTCTTACTTTTAGAGAAGCTAACAGTACACTATCATGAGTGTAAGATACTGTGTGCATAACGTTCTGATGCTGCTGTAAGTCTGGTATACCAAAGGTTTGTTGAATTTGAATGCTTTTTAAAAGTCTTAAGATGTGTTCCTTGGGTTAAAAAACATGTTTTTTTTTCTTTTTTAGGATATTAGAAATGGCTACTCCCCAGTCAGTTTTCGTCTTTGCGATTTGCATTTTAATGATAACAGAATTAATCCTGGCCTCAAAAAGCTACTATGATATCTTAGGTGTGCCAAAATCTGCTTCAGAGAGACAAATAAAGAAGGCCTTTCACAAATTAGCCATGAAGTACCACCCTGACAAAAATAAGAGCCCTGATGCTGAAGCAAAATTCAGAGAGATTGCAGAAGGTAAGTAATGATTCTTACTGCAGTCTCATGGGCATTTATAGTAAAGGTGATGCTAATCAAGAATTTGTGTGCTCTTAAAGATGGTGTGGAGATGTAAGAGTTTGATGTAGGCTTTTGTAATTCTTTTGTTAGAATAGATACTTGGTTGCTGAGTAAGTAATGAATTATAGTAGGTAATTTTATTGGTTTACAATTCTAAAAAATGTTGGAAATACACTATTTCCCTTACTTGTTGTTTATGAGATCACTTTATAAAAAGGGATTAGAAAGCCCAAATTCTTATTAGGTAACTTAATGTATTTTACTAAGTATTGATATAATAGGTTTATATAAGTTAATATAATAGATTTAATATAGGTTAAAGGTGTCTTCTTTACTGCATCTGCATTTCAAATCGTGTCTTTAAAAGCTAAAGCACATTTTGTCTTGACACTAGTTCTAAAACAAAATGTACAAATTCTGCAAATTACTTCAGTAGTTAATAGCCATAACTAGGAGTTGAAATGAAACATTTTCTTCAGTTAGTAAAGTGAAAAACCTGATTTTCTATTAGTTGGATACATTTGATAATTTCTTTAACACAAATGATAGTTTTGAACAAATAATCTGAAGACTAACAAATTAATTTTTCCCACATTTATTCATGATATATAAGTTGATAAAACAAACTCTGCCTTCTTTTACAATTTATATTTTTATATTTATTGTAATATTTTGTTTGTGATGTGAAATTCTTCCCTGAAATACATGAGATGAACTCATGTGTTTGAAGTTTACATAGACATAATTTTAAATGTTTTGTCTCAGTTGCTAAAAGGCTTTTATCTCTTTCAGCATATGAAACTCTCTCAGATGCTCATCGGCGGAAAGAGTACGATACAATTGGACACAGTGCTTTCACTAATGGCAAAGGACAAAGAGGGAGTGGAAGTCCTTTTGAGCAGTCTTTTAACTTCAATTTTGATGACTTATTTAAAGACTTTAATATTTTTGGCCAGAACCAAAACACTCGGTCCAAGAAACATTTTGAAAATCACTTCCAGACACGCCAGGATGGCTCCAATAGACAGCGGCATCATTTCCAGGAGTTTTCTTTTGGCGGTGGATTGTTTGATGATATGTTTGAAGATATGGAGAAAATGTTTTCTTTTAATGGCTTTGAGACCACCAATCGACACACAGTACAGACTGAAAATAGATTTCATGGATCCAGTAAGCACTGCAGGACTGTCACTCAGCGAAGAGGAAATATGGTTACTACCTACACTGACTGTTCAGGACAGTAGTTGGTTCTGTTTCCACTATGCCCACTTAGTTTATTCTTTCTCACTATGTCTGATGAAACAACAGTTTTCTCTGAACTGTTTTGACAAATGCATGATCTCACTTACATTAAGCCATTGGTTGTAGGTATTCCACATATTAAATTTTTGACAGATTCAATCACATTCAGCTAGCAGACAACTCTAATTATTAATTTTCCTGATTAGGAAAAGTTCTTTTAAAGGAAGATCATTTGCAAGATCTTTTTTTCTTTACTTATCCTTTAACTCTTTAATTTGGCCACACCTCCCAAAAAAATCTACAAACAAAATTCAATTTGTCTGGTACATACTTAAGATTAAACTTTAAAAGATAAATTGTGTGAACTTGAATAATTCTTGCAGTGAAACCTCTGCTAATTTAAAATCGCATGCCCTGTAGCACCTGTGAGTTGGGCTACTAAATGTCTACGAAACTGTAATTGAGTCAGTGAAGGGCACAGGTAGGCTCCTGGCCGATTGCCACTGAATGCTTTAGAAAGTGGTGGTTTGATTTTTATCACAAAAAGATGCCTCTGCTACAGTAGAGTTGGTGTAACAGGAGTGATTGTATTGCACGTAGTTAAGCTGAAAAAGTTTAAAACTTAAGATGAAATATTTGCCAAGAGATTGTGTTTGGTCCTCGGCTAATGATTTTGTATGATCAAAATCATAGCTACTTAAACATCTTTTTCTTTCTTTTTGTTGACTTTCTAAGTCTTAGTTTATGTATTTTGTTTGTGTGTGTGTGTGTGTGTTTTGTTTTTGGTGTGTATGTGTATAGTTTCTCTTGGACTTACCTTTATCTAGAGATTGACTAATACCTCATTCTTTTTATAAAAGCAGCCAGTAATTTCTGTGCAACCTTTTATGTGCAATATTTTTAAATCCTAAGAAATGTGTGCTTTTGTTGTTGTTAGAGTTATTTCTTTAGTTCTGCACTTTTCCATGTTATACTCCGTACGAGTGTTAATCCTATGGATGCATATGAAAATAGTAATGTCTCATGCAATATTGTGTGTGAGTGAGAAATATAAATATTTACAACCTGATCTTCACTGTTGTCATTTTATTATGCAGTTCTGGGGTGTACAGTGTATAAATGGGTCATACACTGATCAGAGGTCATGCTCTTTGTGAAGTTTTGTCTACCCAGAAATCACCGTATTTTATTGCTATCTGTATTTTTCATTGTATTACCATGTTACATCTCATTAGCTTGAAGGTTTTTTTAAATATATTTAATTATTTATTTAATTTATTTAATATGTATACAATAGTCTGTCTGTGTGTATGTCTGCAGGCCAGAAGAGGGCACCAGACTCATTAGAGATGGTTGTGAGCCACCATGTGATTGCCGGGAATTGAACTCAGGACCTTTGAAAGAGCAGGCAATGCTCTTAACCACTGAGCCATCTCTCCAGCCCCGCTTGAAGGTTTTAACAACTGAAATTTTTTATATTTGCTTTTTGAGAGCAAGTGTTCTGTCACAAGACCTTTCCTAATTAGGTCTGGTTGAGAAAGATAGACTGCATAAAACTGAAACTATCTTTGGGGATTAACCCAAACACACAACACACTCTTTCTTGCAGTGCTTGGAATGATTTCAAGGCATGTCAGGTACTCATTCTAAAGTTAAGTACATTCTTAGCCCTCTCACCCGTTAAGAATTCTGGGTATGTATATATATATGTGCACATGAATGGTGCAGGTGTGTTTGCTTGTGGAGGTAGAGGTTGACATTTGGGTGACTTCTGTTGCTCTTTGCCTTCTTTATTTCTGAGGCAGGCCCTCTCACTGAGTTGAATTTGCAGTATTTCCTAGACTGGCTGGCTAGTCAAGCCTCTAGGTTTCTCGTGTCCCGTCCCATCCTCCTAGCCACACTGCTGGGGTTACTGGTACAGGCCACCACCATTCCTTGCTTTTTATGTGAGTACTGGGGCTCTGAATTGACGTCCCCAAGCTTGTATTTTATCTGCTTTACTATCTCACTAGCCGCACTTTTAAGAATTTTTTAAAAATGAATTTTATAGTCATAGATTTTATTTCCTAGAATTTATATCTGCTGTTATTTGGTAATAGAAGTAGCCATACCTTGAATGTTGGGCCAAAGAATTTGTCCAAAATATCTCATTTTCAAGTAAGTTCTAACAAAGGAATTATTATTTTATTACTGTTTTTTTGAGGCAGGGTTTCTCTAGCTTTGGAGCCTGTTTTGGAACTAGCTCCTATAGACCAAGTTGGCCTTGAACTCAGAGATCCTCCTGCCTCTGCTGGGGTTAAAGGCGTGCGCCAGCACTGCCCGGCTAGGATTATTTTCATGTTGGTAACGTGTCCCCTTCTCTAGACCTGATTATCTTCGTTTCTCACAATTGTGGGTTCTCAATATTTATTTTGATCCTCTTAGGAATTTATCCCTTCTTGGGCATGGTAGTACATACCTGTAACCACCACCCTCCAGAAGCAGAGGCAGTAGCATTCCAAATTTAGGGCAAGCCCATTCTGTGCATCGACACCCTGCCTTAAACACCAAAATGATTTGTGCATTCCTGAGATAATTTTAGTTTTTTGAAATGTTTGTTGAATAATTAAAAGAACTTACTAGGAGATTATGAGATTATTAAGTAGAATAAGGACATTGGTAACAGTAACTATTCAGTAGGTCTTTTAAAATGTGTACATGTAGGATTTTCAAATTAAATCTCTGGGAGTGCACATGCCATATATGTGTGAAGGTCAGAGGGCAACTTCTGGGAGTCTTTTCACTGCGCGAGTACTGGAATCGCCAGGAATCGAACTCAAGTCATCAAGCTTGGCAACAGCAGTAGTAGCTATCCTTAGATAAAGTTCAAACCAAAACTAATTAAAAATACACACTGCATATTAATAAAAATTCAGTAAGAAGATATAACAATTGTAAATATGCACCTACTGTTGGAGTCCTCAATTTCATAAACAATAAAGTCATAAGGCCACATAGGTTTTAACATAGTAATAGTGGGGGAACTTAAAAACCCTACACTGAGATATTCCAAACTGAAAGAGCTAAAATACGGTGCAGATTAGTGGTTCTCAGCCTTCCCAGTTCTGCAACCCTTTATGTTCTTATCTTGTGACCCCCCCAACCATAAAATTTTATTGGTACTGTAACTAATTTTGCTATGTTATGAATTGTAAATATCTGATAGACAACCCCTGTGAAATGGTCTTTTGACCTCCAGGTTGAGAACCACTGGTTCAGCTCAACTGGATTTAACATATACAGAATATTCCACTCAATAGATTAGAAATATCTTTCTCAGCAGTGATGGAATTTCTCCAAAATTGTGTCATAGGACACAAGTCTTAACAAGAGAAAAAAAATGGAGATTTTGTGTGTCCTATCAGATCACAGTGTAATAAAATTAGAAATTGACAATATTGAATTTTAGGACTGTTGGGAACTCTTGCTCTTTACTCTTGTAGTTAAATAACAGAAGTAGTGTTTTCTTCAGGCCATGGAATAAACCACTGAAAAGAGAAATTATCCCTAGAAACTTCCAGCGACAGTAATGCACTATGACAGAGTAGTGAAGATGAGAAATGCAGCAAAAATGAGGAGCCGCTTTGGCATGCCAAGCACACCTCTGGGTGCCTCCTTCCTGTGGCATTTCAATTGTGTTTTAATACAGACTGCCTGAGGATCTGAGAGTAAAACAGTCCCACTGCTCAGCCTTACAGACCAGGTTATGGTAACACACACCTTTAATCCCAGTAATCACAATGACACACACCTCTAATCCCAGTAGACACACTGGTTGCCATAAAAGTTGGGTGGTATATGCGTTTAATCCCGGTGGTGCACGCCTTTAATCCCAGCCCCAGAGAGGATTATACAATGGGAGGAAACAGCTCTCAACACACAGTCTCATTCTGAGATTCCTAGAGACAGGATCGTCTTCTGTCTGATGTCGAAGTAAAAACCAGTGACTGGCTGTTTTGCTTTTCAGATCTTCAGGTTGAGCCCCAATTTTTGACCCTGAGCTTTTATTAATCGTGCTTCACTTCCTGACTGAGCCTACTAAACTCACCTAAAACTGTGGCTTGTATTTACCAAGGGGATTAATTCAGACGTGAGTACTAAGGAAACTGCTTTTCTGAGAGCACATTCAAGGAGTATTGGCATCAAGAATTGTATGTAGCAACAACTAACTCCAAGAGAAAAATTGAAGATTATAAAAAACTTTAGTATTTTCAGACTTCTGATGGAATTCTGCATCAGCAATCCAGATCTATATTTTCAAGTTTTTGAATTTTTTAAAATTATAATTACATATTTTCCCCTCTCTTCTCTCCAACAATTTCCATCACCCTTTGTTCTCTCAAATTTACAGCCTCTATTATATATACGATACACATTATATACATATACATATATTTTAAGTTACAGTCTCTTATCTGTTGGCAAGGAGACATTTCTTTGATGAAGGGTGAGACATATAAGTATCTGGATAGAAGGATAAATATTTAGAGTGTAGTTAGGAGTTATTTTGGTTCAGTAAAGTAGGTTCTCCAAGATCCATGAGCTCTTCAGCCCTGGCAGTTGCGTGTTTTGGGTACCACTTCCCTCTTGTTGAGCAGGTCTTACACCCAATGAGACAGCTGCTCTTTGTTACTGCTATGGTTTGGGTGCCACTCTTGTGCCTTCAGGGATATCATGCCATGCTGTGCTGGCCATTGTTTTAGTTTATATGGTCCAGAGCTGGGTAAGTGTGCTGCTTGCTTTACTCCCTTGGAAGCTTGCCTGGTGCCTTCAAGTACTATGGAAGCTAGCTCTCTTGCTTCCGGCTCTCACTTCTGACTGCTAGACTCTGTTCCTGTTCTCTGTTCCTGCAGAGGACTGTGATCTAGGACAGTGATCTGTAAGTCTCTCCTAAATAAATAACCCTTTATTATACGTAATTCTGAACTAGTGTGGGATTATTTTGTGCCATCATAAAATGTACAATTTGAGAAGAAAAGGAGCACCAGGATGTATAAACAAACCAATGAAAAGCCTAATGCTCAGTGGAATCAAGGGAGTGGTGGCCACTCAGCTAAGCTTCTGTCTTAGTTAGGGGTTCTATTGTTGTGAAGAGACACCACGACCATGACAACTCTTACAAAGGAAAACATTTAATTGGGTCTGGTTTACAGTTTCAGAGATTTAGTCCATTATCATCATGGTGAGAAGCATAGCAACATTAAGTCAGACATGGTGCTGGAGGGGAAGTTCTCCATCTTGATCTGCAGGCAAAGGAAGTGAATTGAGACACCGGACAGAATTTGAACACAGGAGACGTCAAAGTCCATGCCCACAGTAACAAACTTTGTCCAACAATGCCATATCTACAACAAGTCCACACCTCCTATATACCACTATAAAAGTGGTATTTTCTTTCATACCACATCTAACATGTGAAAAGGAAAAGTGAAAAGGATATAAAGAAAAGCTTAGGGCCAGGCATGGTGGCACATCCTTTAATCCCCAAACTATAGAGGTAGAGGCTGGTAGATCTCTGGGTTTGAGGCCAGGCTGGTATACTGAGAGAGTTCCAGGACATCCAAGCTTAGGCAGTGAAGGAAACCATTAAAAGAGAAAGCTGGTGAAAACGTGTTTGAACAAGAGGGCCATATTCCAGCCCTAGCAAGCAGCAGAATTTGGTAGCTTTGGTCATGTGGTTCTGGTTTTGGAGTTAAGAATGGAAAAGAAAAAAGCATTATAGAATCTCCCACCTCAACTAAGAAAAACTGATGAGGCCAGGTGTATGGCAGGGGTGGTCCCTGAATGGAGGTCTAAAAAGATCACTGTGTGAAGCTGTGAAGAAGAAGCCTGGATTGCCTTGGAGACACCAAGATGTTGGAGATTCCAGAGTCATGATATACCTGCCAAGGAAAGTTGCTGACAGAGTGGAGCCAGCCCAAGAAAAATAAATGTGTTGCAGTCAACAAAGCTGAAAGGAGTTGGAGATCTGAAGAGCGCTTTGACATCAAACATGGAGATCTGGAGTTTGCCCATCTGGATTTTGTTACT